GTTCATCTCGGGCCTGCCATTCTCTTGCACGAAGGAGGAGCTAGAAGACATCTGTAAGGCTCATGGGACTGTGAAGGAACTCAGACTGGTCACCAACCGGGCTGGCAAACCAAAGGTCAGCACTCGTGCAGATGGTGCCTGGTCTCCTAGGTCAGGCGGACTCATTTCTACATTGCTCAGGGATTATTTAGTGCTAGAGTGGGTTCGTAGTTTGTCTAAGAAACAAATGATAATTTAATGGAAAAATAAGCACATTGCTCCACTTCCATTTTGAATCAGATAAATCTTTTGTAGCTAACTGTACTAAAAAAGAATAAGGTGATTGGAAAATTGTCAAAACTTACAGGCCCACAGTGTGGACCCCTGGGCCTGGGGTCAGCACTGTGGCCAGAGGTGAGGACATTTAGGTGGGGTGCCCTGTGCTGCAGTCATCTCTGCTGTCCCTAGACTCCTTGCTGGACTTAGAGCCAGTTTCTTTAGGCCCTTCCACCTGACACCCCTTGCCCCCCATGTCCTGTTAAATCGTTGTGTACCACATTGTTTTATTTTGGGGGCAGGGTCTCACTCTTGAGGCTGGCCTCAAGTGGTTCCCCTGCTTTTCTCTCTGAGTAGCTGGGACTATAGTTATATGCCACTGTGCCTGGCTTTTTTGCACCACAATTTGAGTAGTGTTGTTTTAAGCATGATTTTGGATTCCCTTTTACCCTGTTCTCCGGAGGGGCCAAAGGCCAGGAGACATTGGGCCCCCCTGGGCCACTTGCCCTCTGTGCAGGCCACCGCCTCAGGTGTTTGCTGCACTCAAACTGATCTTCCATCTCTCTCCTTTCTTCTTCTGGAGCAGACACAGGATGCTGACCCTGAAGGGCTCTGGGATGTTAGAAACAGCCATAAGGAAGCAGGGAGTAAACCTGTGAGCAGAGCATGGCAGTGGTGGTGGGGGTGCCTGGTTGGTAGCTTTCCCAGGGAAGCCAGGCCTCTTGCCTATGTGAGGAGGTGGCGTCCTGGGTGGGTCTGTAGCATCTGAGTGGCTCTGGATCTCCCCTTTCAGGGCCTGGCCTATGTGGAGTACGAAAATGAATCCCAGGCATCACAGGCTGTGATGAAGATGGATGGCATGACTATTAAAGAGAATGTCATCAAAGTGGCAATCAGCAATCCCCCTCAGAGGAAAGTTCCAGAGAAGCCAGAGGTCAGGAAAGCACCAGGCGGTCCCCTAGTGCCGCGGCAGATGTATGGAGCGTAAGTGTTTGTGTGCTAGTCTTGGGCCAGCACTGGCCGTGGAGGGATCACCCAGGGTGGAGTAGTTTTCCAGTAGTGCTGTGGGTGAGAATGAGAAAGCTAGGGCCTGCTGCTCCTTGTGTGGCCTGTGTGGTTCTCCTGGGTCCTGGGGTCCGGAGCAAGTCCCAGGAGGGCGTAAGCCAGTTGGCACCTGTCATTTATGTAAGGTAATTTTTTTATGGCAGTTACTAGTTTAAGTTCCACTTTGCTGCTTAATTTGTGTGTAATACAAAACCTGACAACTGCATGCTTGCCATTCTGTAGCTGGGGCTGTAATCCCTATAAAGCCTTCGCTTTCACTTTGATAGGGATGAGGCAGTGAAGTGGCATGGTTACTTGGTGGGGCTGAAAAATGCCAGCCTTCTTTGCCCACTCTTTGTGACTGTTACACAGGGTTGGTCCATGCCAAAATTGTGAACTAGGCAGTTTGTTGAAGTGTTTTTTACTTACTAGCCAGAGCCAAGGACAGAGGGGCTGTCTCATTGCTCCTCTCCTGTTTTTTCTTTTTCTTTTTGTTTTGTCTTTTTGTGGTGGGAGTTGAACCCAGGTAAAGCAAGTGCTTCAACACTGAGCTACTTCTCTTGCCCAAGACATCAGAATTTTTTAAAAAAACAATGCCAGGGATTGGTCCCAGGACTTCTACATTCATACATACAAGGAAAACACTCTACCACTGAACTGCATCCTCTCCAGCTGGGACATAAGAATTTTTCAAAGGTCTAGGAGTAATCCTAATGAACAGCAAAGTTTGAGAACCAGTGTTCAAATATACCACCCTGCTGCATTTGGATCCACTTCTAGTTTTCTCTTTGGTTTTCCCAACCATTCTGTCTCAGGCCTAAGGCAAGCAGTTTGATGGAGCACCAGATCCAGAGGGAAAGTTACCCAGTTTCCTTTTTCTTTGTCATTTCAGCGCTTTGTCAATTTAAACAAACATGTTCAGGTCTTAGTCCTGTATCCACCCCAGACTTTGCATGTGACCCAGGAGAGCTCTCCTCACCTTATCTGCTATCTAGGGATGCATTCCCAGCTTCCTGTTCTTTATTTTATTTATTTATTTATTTTTTGGGTACTGGAGATCAAACTCGGGTCCTTCCGCTTGGAAGGCAGGCAGGGGAACCACTGAGCTAAATCCCCGGCCCCTCTGTTCTTTATTTTTCATCCAATTTTGGATAATTTGAAACTGTCCTGACTTGTTTTCACAATGAAGCCATGGCCACGAGTGCTTACTGGGAAAGGTACTTTCAGTGTTTACTCTTTTCCAGGCGTGGGAAGGGAAGGACCCAACTCGCTCTGCTACCTCGTGCCCTGCAACGACCGACCACTGCCTCTGTGCAGGCGGAGAATGGCCCCAGCCCACACCCAGCAGGCGCCACCTCCAAAGCCAGCGAGGCACCCAAGATGTCCAATGCTGACTTTGCCAAGTTGCTTCTGAGAAAGTGAATGGGACCCTGAGACAGGAAATTCCTTACTTCACTTTGGCCAGGCAGACCACCCACTACCCAGTGGCACCCTGGGGACAGAAGGGCTGGTGCAGCATCTGTGGGCTCCTAGGGACTCTTGTGGCTCAGACAGAAAGGGACAGAAAGAGAAAGGTTGTTCCAAGTAAAGAGAGATGAGTGCTCCCTCACATTGAGGGCAGGCGGAGAGGATGATCGCTCCCCAGGCTGGCCCAGGGTGGCTAGCCCAGCACATTTTGTGTCTTGAAGAGTGAGGAGCAGAAGTGACACTGGAACACGGCTTCTGAGATGCACTTGTTCCAATGCTTTTGGGTCTGTTTATAAGACACTTCTCTCACATCTTGCGCAGCTCCTGTGCCCATCACGCTTAATTTTTAAAAGATGAAAGATGAGATGGGAGATGCTAGTGACTCACCAGAATGGCCTACTTTAGTCAAGGTGGGGTGGGGGGGGTCACATAAAAAATATCGGTGATTTTTGTTCAAGGAGGTTGTGCGTTTTTCTATTATGTATTTGTAAATGACACATCGACTGCTGTTTTATGTTTCCTACAAGCAGAACGTTTGGCGACACTTGTTTTATATAGGGATTCTGAGTGCCCCCTGCTGTGGACCATTTTCTTTGCCTAGTGAGTAGTGATCTGTATTTTATCTAAATGTTGAGTTTCTTTCCTTTGGTTCTGTTTAAATGCCATGTCAACTGCAAACTTCAATTTCAAAATGTTTAGCTTTGTTTATTAAACCGAAGTTCTCTTAAAAAACGTCTTCCCCAGTGGTACTCAGGTATTCCCAAGTGGTTTGAAATGGGTGTACCTTGCTTTACCTAAAAGTTGTGTAAATAGAATTTTATAAGTCAAATCCTGTTGTCACTTTGGTTTAAATTATTTCAGCAGTGATGTATCTTCAGTTTTAAACTTCAAATTACAGCATTTGACACTTACTTCAGCTTTTTAAGGTTTTTTACCTCTTTGATCAAGTATTTGTTACTTTGAAATCAGCATTGCCAGGTCAGTAGGGAAAACTGTAAAGGCACTTCAGAGAAAAACATCAGGGAATCCTTGTGTATGTCATGGAAATTATCTCATTTATCCGTTTTGTAAGTTTCAGTTTCTGTGCATCAATCAGCTTCTTAAATTTCTTTTTAAACGTAACATTTTCTAATGGAAAACGTTGAACACATAAAAAAGTAGACAACCATAAAATAAACTCCTACGTGCCTATCATTGAGCCTTGGCAATCCTCACTCCTGGACCATCTCACTGTTGCTGCCCGCCCACCTCCTTCCCATGTGTTAGGGACATCAGCACTCAGCCAGGGCCACTCAGCCAGGGCCACCCAGCCAGGGACATGGAGCATGTGTCCCTAAGTGATAAGGACTCGACGGCTGCGGTTTTACAGAACCATTAGCAGTAATACCTTTACGTCTAATTAGTCAGTCAGATCTCAATTTCCTATTGTCTAATACCAGTTTTTCCTCCCTGTAAATGATCACCAGTTGATAAGCTTCTTAAATCTTTTAAAATGTAGGTTCCTCTCCCTTCATCTTTCTTTTCATCGTGAAACATTTTTTTTGGTTTGGAGGATCGAACTCAGGACCTTGTGCTTGCAAAGCAGGCGGTGGCACCACTGAGCTAAATCCCTGGCCCCCAGCATAAAACACTTTTTCTAGGTGTCACCATTGGATTATGCTCTGCCAGTGAGTGTTGGAAGGATCCCCCTGGAGCACTAGTTGTTGGCTCGGAGGGAGCCTGTGACCTGTGACTTGTGACCTTTGGCCTGGCACTGAAGATCCATGTGCATTTCCTCCCAGTGCAGGTTAAGGTGGCTTTCCTTTTCCTACGCCCCAAGAACTGTTTTGTTCTTTGGCTTTTTGGCCAGTGACTTTATGCCCTCAACATGGGCTGTGACAGGGGTGAATTTTTTCAGACTCGAGCAGGATCCTAAATTTATGTGTAGGGTTCTGACTTCTAGAAATGGGCTTCCTGGAATATACATGTGGGTTTAGGTATATTTTCCCAGAAAATCAAGAACTGATGGTCAACAGAAACATGAAAAAATTTTTTGAATTTTAGTACAAAATCAGTAATTCAGCCCCATTAACTTAGGCAGTTTAGGCAGCTAGATTTATCTTGCTTGCCTGCTGACCATCTTGGATCTGTTCTTTCCCCTGAACTATATGTAGTAAGGTGACAGGTCAGAGTTCCCCTGTAGCTCTTCGGGCAGATGGAAATGCCTCTTGAATAAGACAGAAAAACCTCAAATGTTTATATAATAAAATACTTTATTAGAATCAGTAACTTGTTAATAATATCCTTCACGTACAACTAAAGTGCAAATTCTCTCACTAAAGGACAAAGTGAGCACACCTGTTGGCCCTCCTTACTGTGCTTATAGAACCAAGACAGCAGAAGAGCTCAGGTTTAAGAAATGCCTCACGGCAGCATCCACTATGAGAACATTTTTTATTCAGGTTTGAGCAACTATCATTTGGAGCCATTTCATACAGCTTCTCACTTATTTTTCTTAACCTTTCACAAAGTGACTCTGAAATCTGCCACTTACACAAACAAGTAACTGAATACACACATCTAAGTAGAGACTTTGTGACCATCAGGAACTATATGTAAAAATCAAAGACATGACACCACTTTGAGTATGGTCAACATCACTGAAGCATCACCAAAGGGAAAGGGAAACTAGTGATTTCCTGCCTTTCTGACTAAACAGCAGCAGTTGAACTGGTCCTTGTGCCATAAATGATTGAAAGATCCTGTTTCCATAAGATGACAACTTAGAAACCTGGCCATTTTATATATGACATTTTATCATTCTACAAGACGCTAGAAAAATAAGGCCACTCAAAGACAATCTCGCTTCCCGAAGGGGCACACTGGACAGTATGATGGCTGTGCAAGGTGGTGCAGGGACAGCAGGTGGATGCAGCTAAACAAAGGGACACACTGGCTGCGGTCAGAGGTGTTTACTTGGTTTTAATTCATTATCAGATTGTTGCTTTGGGGTGATGTGGTGTCTTTCTCAGCTGGGTTTTGGAACTTCACCTCCAGAAAACAGTGGGAGCTGAGGGCAGACCGGCTTTGCAGCATGATGCAGCTTTGGGCGATGAACCCAGAGAACTTATACATCAGTGGTGGTGAACCTATGGCATGCATGCCAGTGGGCTGTTTGTTATCACTAAAAGCTCTAAAAAGTTCGCCATCACTGCTTTGGATGAAAACATCTGGTCTGCATTGCTGCAAATGAAGGGCAAGGGCAACACTGCTACACAAAGAAAACCAAGCTGGCTGCCCTCCTCTCCTTGATTAGAAAAATAGTCTCATGTGAAAAAATAGCCTTGGGCACCCGCATCTGTTATGGCTCAGAGGGTCCTCCTGGAGATAAGGTATCTAACTAGGAACGTCAACACTCACTTCAGAGCTTAAAGCTTGGCTCTACCAGGAAAGGCCACCACGCGAATACAGTGGCAGGGGCACAAAGACCTGAAAGTGGCTGACATTTCTCAGAACTGGGACAGGTCCTCCCCAGAGAAAGACTTGGAGTCACTTTTCCAGTGGCTCTGGGCCTTGTCCTACTGCTCTGGCCTCCTTCCCTCACCTAAGTGCAAATTTGCTCCAGAACCCTGGTTCTGGTCAGAGTGTTGGTGCCTCCAAGCGTGTGGGGCCACCTCTCACACAGCGGCCACTGGCAGCGCCACAGCGGACACACTACATTGCTTGCTCTAAAGAAAATAAATAACTTTGCTGAAGTATAAGTTATCTTAGATACAAGGCTTAATAATTTAGTTTTCTTTGACTAAAAAATTTTTGGAGGTAATGAACATTTAAAGGTTTCTAGAACTGTTAAGTTTCTTGGATCCCGTCCCCCTGCTTCTCTGGTTGCACAGGGAGAACAGACAGGGCTAGGGCTTCACGGGAAGCGTCTCCTTGAACCCGGAATGGTTGGGTTTGGCTTCGGGCAGTGCCACCGAGTACTCAGTCGTGGCAAAAAGCAGAGTGTCTAGGGTGGTCTCAGTGCACTTGGCGATGAAGCGGATGAAAGGCCTCACGTCGCCCTCGTTGGCGACCTCCAGCACATGGTAGTACTCGGACCTCTGCTCCTTGCGGATGGTGATGGGTGGGTAGCCTGCTTGCATCAGGATGAGGTTCATGAGCAGGCGCGAGGTCCTCCCGTTGCCGTCGATGAAAGGGTGGATGTAGACGAGTTTGTAATGCGCTAAGGCTGCAAACTCCACCGGGTGCAGGTTCATGGCATCCTCAGAGTTGAGCCACTGTATGAACTCCTGCATCTGCTTCTCCATGTCCTGGGGATGGGGAGGGACATGGTGTCCCACCAGTACCTGGGTCCTGCGAAACCTGCCAGCTTCCACTGGATCCACGTACCCCAGCACCCGCCTGTGAATCTCCAGCACGTTGTCGATGGTGACGGAGCCTATGCGGGAGACCAGGGTGGTGTTGACGTACTTCATGGCTGTGTGCATGCCGATGACCTCATTCTGCTCCTCCAGGCTCTTCCCTGGCACGGCGTAGCGCGTCTCCAGGATATGCCTGATCTCGGAGAGTGTGAGGGTGTTGCCCTCGATGGCGACCGTGTGGTAGATGTGATGGTAGTATGTCTCCTCCATGACCCTGTGAAGCGCCGAGTTCCCCTTGGGGATGGACATCACCTTCCTCACCTTGCTGTCGATGATGCTGAAGTACCTCTGGTCGATCTCCTCCACGAGCGGCAGCGTCCGGTCCCGGTTGACCAGTGCTTTCTCATGGAAGGGTGAGATGGTCAGCGCTCTGGTGTACAGGTAATCTGCTTGGACGATGTCCTTGTCTTCTTCTGAGAAGATGCCGAACTCATTGAGTGCATCCACATAGTCCGGGTCCATCTTGAGTGCATACAGGAAGAGCTTGTGGGCTTTCTCCCGCTTGCCCTGGCGCTTCATTTCCAGGGCTTGGTTCAAAGCTGCTTTGGCTTCCAGTCTGCCTGCTAGAGAGAGCCAACGCAGCCTGTCAGTGAGGGAGGGTGGGGCGGCAAAGGATGTCCAGGGGCGCTGTCCCCGGGCAGGTGTCCCAGGACACCAGGATCAGCTCACCTCCCCAGCCTCAGCCGCACTGTGTTCACACCACAGCCAGTGCCACTGTGCCCTGCAGCCCTGTGGTGTGGTGTGCTGTGCCGGTCACCCTCCCTGTGTCCCAGGCTATTCCCCACGCCCTTGCCATATAGGAGGGTCCAGGGTCCAGGCGTTTCCTGTCCCTGTGGTTTCCCTACTGTGTTGCCCTCTCCTGTTTAAACCCAGTGGTTCAATTTTGCCCCCGAGGGGACATCTAGAAATGTCTGGAGACACGTCTGGTGTCACACATGGGGCGTGTGTGTGTGCTGCTGGGACTCAGGTTGCCGTTCCCCATGTTGCCATGCACATGGGACGCTCCAGAGGAGGAGAAGGAACCTGCTCCGGGTCCAGCCCTCTTTTCCCAGCCCCATTCTCCTGGCATCGGTCAGCCACACACTCACAACTTCTTTGAGTTCCTTGGGTGTCCCCAGGTCTTCTCTTACACTGGTGTCCGCCTAGGACACTCTTCCTCTCTTGCCCTTCCCCTCTGGTCACACCTACTTACAACTGGGGCTCAGCTCAGGCCTCCTGCAGGGAGTCTTGGTGGTGAGCTCCTCAGCACACTGTACTTCCTATCACCACATCTGTGTCTCAGGCACCTGTTGGCTTGTCTAGACTGGGACCTCAGGGCTGACTTCACCACTGTACTGCCCTGCAGGACACAGCAAGCCATCCTGCAAATATGTGTCCAGTCGGCAAGCACCGAGGCGGGACGGCCAGTCTGTCTTACCTGTAGATGCCTTGGTCTTGACCACCAGCAGCCCCGCCTCTCTGGAGGTGACACTGAGCTCTGTGGAGGGGCTGGTGCGCTTGGTGGCAGCATGTTGTGCCCTGTCTAATTTGCTCCTGAGCAGGTAGAAGCCTTTGAGTATGGCTAAGCACTGTTCCTCCATGGCTCCCAGTGGCAGCACCAGGGCCAGCAGCGACCCCAGCGCCATGCTCAGCAGCATCAGCCACAGGAAACGGCTCCAGACGGAGACCCATTTCGGTTCAGTCACTGCCATCACTGAAGCCATCGGCACGAACATCATCTGGACTCAGGGCTGGGCCCCGTGCACATGTCCACGTTAGCCGAGGAAGAGCAGGATCTGAAGGAAACAAGAATTCTGAGAGTTAGGCAGGGAAGAGGACATGTTCCTCACACCTAAACACTGGGGACCAGGCAGTGGGGAAGGCAAGGAGTGGCTCTCCTGGGGAGAGGGGCCAGCTCAGAGGAGAGATGATTTAAGTCATGCTGCTGCTCCCCAATGTTTTTTTTTTAATTAACAAATTATTATTGATATAGGCTTTTCAATCTGTCCAAAATTATGCATTGTAAGTGGAATGAAGCAGCATTTCCAGTTGACAAATGGATCTATGGGTAATGAGGTATTTCTTAAATAAAGCTTGTGACAATTAAACTAACAAATGGTGGCAATGAGAAAACTATTGACAAAGTACAACCAGGGAATGTTCAATTCAATATATGCATGAATCTGTACTTTAAGTAAAAGAATGAATACCTGAAGCAGTACAAATGGTAACCAGGTACCAAGAAAACAGACAATGAGCTTGGGCAAGAGTATTCTTTTAGAGTTTACAATGTAACTAGGGAGGGATGAAGAAGGAAAATACAAGATAGGCTCATTCATTTAGGAAGTTATTTAAATAGCCTGTACCAAGGCAATAACTTCTGACCAAGAGGTTATAAAAGCCATAAATAAAATTATCATCATGGAAAGTGACAGGCAGTAACTCTGAATGCTGACATAGACAGGACATTGGTAAGAAATATTCTGTGCCTTCAGGCTTTGGTAGATACCTGGTTCTCCCAAAACATAAGCAAGGACTGAAATCCAAATCAAAATTACTGCAAAGAAATAAAACACCTTCTGACATTTAGATGATAGCTTGGTGAGTTTAGAGAAATTCAGGCAATAATCTATACAAGATACTAAGACTGGATAATGCAAAAAGCCATAAGTAAAGGAAATAATTTGCGCAAAAAGACAGATACGGTATTTAGTAAACCTAATACCTAAAAGTACAAAATCCCTGAAATAGGATATAATGGAAATGCTTACCAAAAATAAAAAAATCAACAAATGCTAATGAAACACAAAAACATTCCATAAAATTTTGATAGCTGTTTTTTCTTCTCATTCCTAGCGTGAGGATATTTAGTAATATTTTCCCAAGTACGATCAAGAACAACAGAAAAGTAGCATCTAGAGGCTGATTCGTTTGATGTAACTGGTTCTGAAAAGAGCATCTGTCTGAAGAAAAGGGTGTCATATTTTTAAATTTCAAGAAGACCTGCTGGAAAATACATGATAAAACACTGCTTCACTTTATTTTCCGTTCACATACTATAGTTTAACTTGACCTTATCTGAAAAAGTTCCATCACAGGTTCGTGGTACAAGGACACAGAAGCATAGCTGCCAATCTTGACGACTGCCAAGTGGTGTGATGCTTGGAGGAGGCCTAGATGGAATGACCAGATGAGTCTCTCCAGAGTCTTCCTAACCAATAATCCTATTTTGATTTTGCTGCCTTTAATTATGTCACTGTTGGTTCCTTGCATTTCATTTTGCTATGCCAAAATGCTATGTAAGCTATCCTTTGCTGGTGTGGGTTATCTCTGGAAGTTGAGTTGCTGGCACTCCTCGCGGGGCTCAGGCCGCACCTTCCTCCGGAGTCCGCCAGTAGAAGCCACTGGGAGCTCGCGCCCCCGCGTCCCGCCCAGGGACCCTACCCAGCCGGCCGCAAGGTCACCGTCTACTCCCCAATGTTTACTGAGCACTTACTGCATGCCAGGCCCTGCATTGAACACCTACACATGTCTCCTGTGATCTTCAATAGCTGACTGAGCTGATGTTTTCACTCCCCTCTGCCCATGAGGAAACTGAGGCTCACAGAAGTGAAGTCCCTTGCCCAAAGTCACCCAGAAAGCAAAAGAAACCTGAAGGCAGGAACCCCAAGGCTCTAAAGCACACCTCTTCAACAGAAATCTCTGTGGCCTCTGAACACCTGGCGTTTGGGACGTAACATATGTACACACTCAGGTGAGGAATGGCTCTAAGGCCTGTCCTTTGATAAGTGCGACTGCCCAGCAGCCTGTTTCTGCATGGGCGGCTGCCTCTTCCTCCCCTCACCTTGATATTCAGCTGCAAAGCCCACAAGGCTGTCCCTCTGTGGCCTTCCTTTCCTGGCCTGTCTACCAAGGACCTCAACAAGAGGTTGGGCAGCTAAGCATCTCAAAAGGAACTCAGGCCTTGGCCAGAGTGGGTGGCTGCTCTACCTCAGTGCCCACAAGCATGTGCTGGGACTTGCAAAGGGAGTGGAGGGCCAGGTGTGCAAGTACCATGATGCCAACAATAAGCATTTATTGGGCACCTATGGTGTGCTGTGCCCCGAGCTGGGTGCTAGCCTCACAGCACCCTATGAAGAAAGAGCTACTTATAGTTCCGTTTTACAGATGAGGGAAACTGAGGCACTAACAGGGCAACTTAAATTGCAGAAGGCCCACTGCCAGTAAACAAAGGCAGGCATGAAACCAAAGAATCAGAAACCAGAGGACCCAGGTCTAAATCACCTTATTACTAAGTGGGGCTCTGGGCCGCTCTGGTCCAGAAACGCTTGACAGATGACAGGGCTCGGGGCTGTCCACGAGCCCGGCCGGCGGCCACAGGACATCTGAAACGGCTTGGGTGTGCTGTGGGTGTACAGGTGGCCTAGAGGCTTCCCGAAGAACAGGAGGCTCGAGCAAGCTGTAAAGGCAAGGACTATGCAGATGCCAGGGAGGAGTGTGCTCCGGAAGACGCCTCGGCCTTTACTTCCTCAGCAGGGGGTAAACTGAGGCCTGGAGAGGTCAAAGGACCGCTCTAAGAAAGTCAATCTGCAGAACCGGTTCTCTGGAAACCCCGCCCAGGGCTCGCGGCCTCTCCGAACCCTCCAGAGCCCCGCGGGCTCACCCTCTCCTCACCGCGACGGCGCCGAGCCTTCCCGCCGCCTTCCGGGCGCTAGAGGACTACTCCTTGGCGGCAGGCTCCCAGACCTCTTCCTCCGTCCGCCTTCTGGCCCCGCCCTCCACGACTCTCCATTGGACAGCCCAACATCCTTGTCGTAGCGGATTGGCTTTCCTTGCCTGTCCGTCCTTCGCATTTCCGGGTTTCCGCATTGACCTCGGTTTCCTCGAGAAAGGCGCGCCGTGGGCCATTCCCATTGGCTGTCTCTTTGGGTTGGTCTCGTGGCGGAAGTAGCCAATAAGCAACTAGGGGCGGGGTCTAGGCCACCTGTGGGAGAAACGCGCGCAGAAAATTGGGCGTGGGTGCGGGATTAGGGCTGCGTTGGTGTCAGGCTCGGAAACTCTCATCTCCAAACAGCAGAACTGTTACCTCAAGTCTCCTCGTCCCGGGGCTGCTCTCGTGTGCCTTAGTTTCTTCAGGTGTAAAATGAGACTGCTGATGGTCACCTTGCTCCTCTGTTGGTCTTGACTTCGCAGCCCTTGTTTTTAGACTCTGCCCTATGCGGTCAGTTTTGCGCCACCTTTTCCTTTGCTCTCCCCATCTCTGTTTCACGTACTTCTTCCGTGTGTATTTTTGTTTTCCTTTTTGCAGTACTAAAGATTGAACTCAGGACCTTTCCACTGAGCCACACTCCAGCCCTATTATTATTATTATTATTATTATTATATTTTGAGACAGAGTCTCGTTAAATTGCCCAGGCTGGGTTTAAACTTGTTTTGTTTTGTTTTTCTTGGTACCGGGGATCGAACTCGGGTCCTTGCGCTTGCGCAGCAGGCGGTGAAACCACTGAGCTAAATCCCCGGCCCTGGGCTTGAACTTGTGATCCTCCTGCCTCTGACTCCAGTTGTGAGGCACCACGCTAATTTGCATCCTCTTGAGAAGGGCCTGGCTGGTACTTTTGGTTTCCTGAGATGGATTTTTCCTTAAAGCAAAGTTAAAACCTCCATCTTAACCCACAGACATGGAATTGAACATGTAGGGACACACTCCAGAAACGCTAAGATTATTAAAATATTAGAACAGATTCTGGAGACAATCAGAGCTCAGATTCAGACTTTGCCGTTTGCAGTCTGTTCTTGAGCCAGTTAATCCAGCCCCATTATGCCACCAGTAAGATGGGGACAAAGAGCCTACTTCGCTTTTGCCCTCCAGTTTGGGATTTGCAGAGGGCTTGATGCTTTTGGATACACCCTCACATGACACAGGGAGCCCCTCAGTTGCAGGTTCACATCCCGGGATCAGTGCTTGTGGCCAGTTGCATCCAGCAGGTGATTCAGCCTTGCTGATCCCCGTTTGCTTTTCAGTAAACGCAGGAATTTGTGTGAGTATGCATCTGGCCCAGAGCACATGCTCAAGGAGTATCACCTGTGCACAGTTATTTCTAGATGGGACACAGATCGTTGCTGCTGTATTTCTTGTTTGCAAAAGGAAGCACTAGAGCTGCCCAGTGGCTCCGATCACTGGGGAGAGACCCCCATACCCCGCATAGGTCTCATTCTGATTCTAGTTTAGCGAGGCACAAGATGTGGGGTCCGGGCCAGGCTGGAGTTGGGGCTGATGACCAGAGGCATGTGGTCCTGAAGGACACTGGGAGACACTTAAAAGTGAGGGAGCGTACAGTTCCCAGCCTTGGCTCTTGGGTGCCCTTGAGACTGGGTCCATTTACCTCGACTCCCAGCCCTCCACAGTGAGCATGGATGCTGAAGGAATGTTGTTGGCTTGAATTTGAAACCTCTAATGCAGGAAAAACTCTGGAGTTTTTAAGAAATAACACCAGGATAGTAGTTCTCTTGATGGCTTGTTTTTAATTATTTGAACAGAGGGCTTGTACATTGTTGTCTTGGAGTCCTCTGAATTTCACTTTTGATGGTCCCAGTAGTCATTGTTGTATAAACCTTCCCCAGAGGAGGAACTCCTGTGCAGCTGGCAGGTGGACACAGTTGGTGTAGCAGAAGACAGGGCTGCTCTGGGGTCAGACAAATGTCCATTCAGTTGCAAAGCCCATCAATTTGGGCAAGTCACTTAATTTCACGGAGCTGGGTACCACTGGGCCGTGGAGTTCTGTCCACACACAGGAATAAAGGAAGATATATATATATATGTTTTAAAGACACCCTCCTCCCTTCATTCCTTCTTAGGACACCAGTATAAACTCTTTATGCAGCTTAGGCCACTGAGAGCAAATCCAGAGGCTGCACAGGAACCGCTCATAAGCAAAACTGCCTGGGTGTGAGACAGCAGGGAGAGGAGGGGAGTGTGATGAATTTTCGTCCAAAGTGGACAGCAGCTTCTCAGCTCTAGCCCACATTTCTTATGGTGGGTTGCACCCCCATCTGTAGTGGACAGATTTTCCAATTTTTCAAAAGAAAGGCCAGACTTGGATTTTTTTTAGCAGAATCTCCAGATTTTTAAACAGTGGGCATGTCTGCCTGCTGGCTACTGGGGCCTGCCAGATTGTCAGCCCTGTTTTAGACTTTTATGATGGGTGGGGAAGGTGGTGTTCACACAGGAAGAAACACAGATGAGTTGCTCAGCAATGGATCGCGCCACGGTCTGTGGACAGCAGGGGGCGCTAATTCACTTGACTTCGCGTCTCTTCTTCAATCCCCTTGTCAGGTGACTACACTCAATTTTCTTTCTTGATTTTTGTCTGCATTCAGCTGTGTTGAATGAAGAAAATATGGTTCCTGAAGCGACACTGAAAAGTTGGCTTTCTCCATCTTAAGCATTCTGTAGTAGGAGGAAATTACCTCTCCGTGGTCCGTGGAGGAGTTTTCTAAAAGCTTACCTTGACACATGACAAAGAACCTAGAAAGTGGCTGCATGGGAAATGTGTCCATTACGCAAAATAAAACAAAACACAACAGCCTTCTGCAGCTTTAAAGAACAACAGTTGAGCACTTCTTGCAAGCAGAGGCGGATGCTATGGCTTAGAAGAAACAAAACTCCCCAACATGAGGCTGTATTGCCTTGGGTCGGCTCCACGACTTCTCAACTTCATCTAAAAGAAGAGAAGCCATTCGTGTTCCTGCCGTCCTCACTCATACCTTCCTCTCATTCCCAGCCTGCCTGGGTTTTTTCCCCTCCTTCTATCTTAATCCTCCCCCTGTCTCTCCCTGACTGAGTCTCCCTGTACCTACCGGCATGGGACCCAGTTTGTGAGACATCCCCAAGGGACAGGGTCTTGGGGACCTCATATAAATGTCCCTGGGCTGATGGCCTCTGCTCTGGCCTCGGAATGCTTTGCATGTCATGCTGTGTCAAATTAATTTTTACCAGGATTTTCAAACACAGAAGCAAATAACTTGTTTTCAAAGCAAGTCATTTTGGGGAAAAGAGAACTTCCAAAAAATGATGCGTAAGTGCTTTTCTGTTAAGTAACCTACTTTATTTCTTAACAGCAAGATGAGATCATCATAGATATACAGGGAGGCACACATGTATGCACACGTGCACACACACACACACAATGAGAAGAAAAGAATACCCATCTAGAATTCTACCAGAAATGTCTCCCTCTCTCTGCCTCCCTTTCCCCCTTGTTGTGGTGCTAGGAATGGAACCCATGGCCCCACACATGCCATGTAAGTGCTCTACCACTGAGCTACATCCTCAGCCCTTTTGAAAAACATTTATTTTGAGACAGGCCCTCACAGAGTTCCCCAGGCTGTCCTCAAACTTGTGATCCTTCTGCCTTAGCCTCCCAAGTAGCTGGGATTACAGGTGTGCACAACCCTTCCTGGCATGGATATCTATTTTAAATGATTAAACATTTCAGACATCCAAAAATCATAGGTAATACAATGACTACCTGTGTAGCTGTCACCCAGTTTAAGAAGTACCACATACCCAAAGCTCTGAAGCCACATAAAGCTACTCCCCTCCCCCACAGCCCTTCCTTCTTACCCAAAAGTGTCATCTTGAATGATGTTATTGTTTCCATATATATCTTTTCTTTGATTCATATGTATATATTTCTAAATAATATATAATGATGTTCTACATATTTTGACATGTATATACTCTATGTATCCTTTTGCATTTTTGGTTTAGAATTACATTTTAGAGATTTTTGTGGATATCAATACACAGAGTGCTCATTCATTTTACACTGCTGTGTAGTGTCCCACTTGCAATTTATTTCCTGCTTAGTTGTTGATGGGCATTTGGATAATTTCTAATCTTTTTCTGTTACAAACAGCATTGCAGTGCAACTGCTGCATAATTGTAGGGCACATGTGTGGATGTTTTTCTAGGACAGAGTGTCTCAAAGAATCATCTGGAGAGTTTTGAAAAAGACCTGCATACCTGGGCTCTGATCTAGACCAATGAAGCCCTCAACCTCTCTGATCCTCCCGTATCTGAGCTGTATGTGGACATCATCATACCCCTATACTATGTCATTATTGATCATTTATTGTGTGCTAAGTGACTGATAGATATAATTTTATTGATTTTTTGTAACAATGCTATAAGGAGATATTATTATACCTACTTTATGGAAGGTGAAACTGAGGCTCAGAGCAACCGAGGTAATTAGCTTGAGGTCACACAGCAAGCCAACAGGTGGCGCTGTCATTCACAACCAGTCTTCCTGACTTGAGACTTAACGGTTTTAACCATTTTAAGACCTTAAGATTATAGAGTTAGCAGTTATATTTTTAAGTCTTCAGTTACAAGTGGGGAAACTGAGTCTGACAGAGGCCAAGGACTGAGCCAAGTTACAATTCTAAGTCTCCAGACTCCCTATCCA